GTACTAGCTTGACCTTTCCTAACCAACTAGCCAGCTACTCGTGATAGCCTTCCCACTGCCTCCAATCAACTAGCCAACCAGCCAGTAATAATAACTCTATCCCTGCCCCTAACCAACCAGCAAGTAGTAATAACTCTACCCCTGCCGCTAACTAACTAACCAACTAGCCATTAATAATAACTCTATCCCTGCCCCTAACCAACCAGCAAGTAGTAATAACTCTACCCCTGCCGCTAACTAACTAACCAACTAGCCATTAATAATAACTCTATCCCTGCCCCTAACCAACCAGCAAGTAGTAATAACTCTACCCGTGCCGCTAACTAACTAGCCAAACAGCTAGTAGTAATAAATCTACCCTGCCCCTCACCAACTAGCCATCCGGCCACGAGTATTAGCTCTCCTCCTGCCAATAACCAACTACCCACTAGAATTATCCCTCCCACTGACCTACCGCACCAACTAGCCACTAGAACCATCTTGACCCCCTAATCACTAACACCCTAGCCAGCCACTAGTGCTAACCCTCCTAAGAAGCCCTAATCAACTACCCAACCAGTCACTAGTACTACTAACTCTACCACGAAGCACTAAGCAACGGCCCTAACAGCAACTAGCGAGTACGAGCTGTATCTTGAACTCTTAACTAAGCAGCCAGGCGTGCTAACCCTCCCTCTCCCAGGTGGTGCTGGTGGTGCACAATGTGGAGGCGAGGGTTGGTATATCACACAAATGTTGTGAAACTCCCTTCCCGTAGGCGTAGAAGTGCAGTTCTCTGGCAAGGTAAAGGTGGCATAGTAAGTGTGGAATAATCTCCATCTGTTCCGTTTGAATAGGATAGAGTGTAACCCCCTCGCACGCATGCGGTTTCCTCCCACTTATAAACACACATTAATTGGCTGAAAACACCTCGGTGTGTTTTGCGGATTGCACAACGTTGTGAGATGCAGTTTGCATGAATGACGCAATGTAAAACCACAGATTTTTGTTATGACGATAACCCTATCTCTAGTTCGACCTCAGGCTTACTAGAACCCCTTTAAATATTTGTCTTATCGTCAGTTTTGGTATTAACAGAGTACAGTCCTATGCACAGCTGACTCCAGATCTTTCACCAAACTTGGCAAAATACAGCTGTGTCCACTGCGCAGATATAATCCGATTTAAAACACAAAATCGTGTTCTGCACGAACTTCTCAGAGACCCCTATTCCCCCTCCCCCCCTCTTGTTAATGCTCACCAAGGGACCTGACCGGGTTACAAGTTACATTCCTATATATTTTTCTAGAGTTTAAAGGATGCACACGTGCACATTGTGGCCATTTGCAGTTTGTGTGTGTATCTGCCGCATTTACTGATGATAATTTCCCTTTGTGGGAGGAATGGGTGACATTCAAAGTGGAATCAAACACGGCTACAAAAATACACCCAAAACGTTAATCCGCGTGGAATAACTTGCGCATAGAATCAGATAATCGCATTAATTCCACTTGTCATGGCGAATAGAATGTGCTCAATGGACGCTCCATACAGGCTCATATTCATGCTGTTTATATACAGTATATGCGGCGAATGATCGATGTGTTTATGTACCGTTCATGTCAGCTACGACCAAGCCACTGGGGGATGAAAGCCATCGCCAGCTCTCACATAGTCCAGCGATTATAATAATCCATCCAGAACTTGCGTCCGTCCTTCCCTTCGGTGGTCTTCGGTGGTCATTATCTTGGCCATGTTTCCCTCCTTTGGATTATGCATGTAAATGCAGTACGTGTACGTTCAAAATTATGCATACATTGATCACGTGCTGCCTTGGTAAATTGTTGTAAGAGTTCGTGATTAAATTCAGAAAGCCGAAACCGGTCCAGTTTTGCTTGCTTATACAAATGCTGCAGGATATCGTTGGTCCAGAAGGCCCTTTAGGCTGATGAACTAAAATTATGTTTTTTTTACATACCTGGTGAAACAGACCCTTGTCTCATTATTCATGTGTAAGTCCATCATTCAACCAAAGCATGCCCTCCTTACAATAGGTTTTGAGAGATGAAACGTAAATGAGGCTTTCGTAAACATGACTTCCAAGCTCGCGTTGATTTGATGCATTTTTTTACATTTATTTCCAGTAAAATGCAATTATTGTTGTTTTATCGGAATATTGATATAGATTTGTGGAGTCCCGAACCAGTTCTGTAACTTACATCCACTTAGCCATGAGAACCCCATACTAGTGATATATGTCTTGTCAATACCCCCTCAACTATCACAGAACAGTGCTACCCATCGTGTTACAGAATGGTCCACGGAAGCAGATATCACAGGGCTAACTCTGAGATCACTTTAACTGACCTCTGTTCAACACAGTAGGAGGCAGTACTTTCCCACCTGAACTGACTATTATCACGGTAATTTTCGTAACATAAAAGATCATACCTATCATTTTTATTCTCAGAGCTGGAATTAAGTCAGATAAAGTTGCACAACCAAATTGCAATATTACGTTTATTTTTCGTGTGCATACTTTAGCGGTGGCATGGCCCGAGCAGGAGGGGCATTCGTTGCTTGACGCAGAGGTTCAAGGTTTAAATTCAGGAGGCGCTATGGTTATTATTGCGGTTGTATTAACTATAAAATAATCGGTGACGTAATTCGCAATAGTAGGCCATTGTGTGCTAACGCCATGGTCAATATTAGATTTCCCACCCCCCCCCCCAAATAACTCAATTGAGTCAATCTTGATTTGAAGCTTTCGTGACTGCAGCAATCCATACTCTTTGGTTCTTTCGGTAAAGTCACGTAGGTATAAAATAAATCACGACGTTTCGATCGCAACACAAGCGACCGTCATCAGGTGGAACATATACAGCAGGAGAACTGCTGACGTAAAATAAAGAGCTGCTGCTGATGCTGCAACAAGAATTTATATATGATTTTGGTGGGCTCAACCCAAGGGTAAGTGGGCGGAGCTAGAGAAGGAATTTGTACGTAAATGTGAGAGATTAGTATGTCAATGTAGAGTCTTAACTGACTGTGATGCTTCCAACTCAATTGAGGTCACACGTAACAATTATCGCCACCCTCCCCCCACCCCCATCATCCGGCTGAGAAACTTTGGCAGGACTGTCCTGAAAAAAGGGTTATGAGACTCGATGAGGCTTTCCTGGTTAAACAAGCGTAATCAATTAATTAGTGACAAGGCTGAGACCATCGGCTCACTATACTTGATATACCAGTTTAATCATGGGTGGCATGCCAGCAATCGAAACCACGAATTTAGTGGCGCAGCCTCATTGCCCTGGCACCTGCGTTACCTGATCGCCTCTGCACACAATTAAACATGACCGGTGTGTGTGTACGTGTGTTGTGTACGTGTGTACATGTTTGTGTGTACGTGTTTTTGTGTACGTGTTTGTGTGTACGTGTTTGTGTGTGTACGTGTGTGTGTACGTGTGTGTGTACGTGTTTGTGTGTGTGTGTACGTGTGTTGTGTGTGTGTACGTGTTTGTGTGTGTGTGTACGTGTGTGTGTTGTGTGTGTACGTGTGTGTGTGTACGTGTGTGTGTACGTGTGTACGTGGTAGTGTAGCGGTTAGCGCGCTGCGCTATGAACCCGGCGACCCGCTCACGGCCAACACCAGTGACGATTATCTGAACCGGTCCCGGGCCTCCCCTAGGTCGACTCAGCCTCAAATGAGTACCTGGTGCGGTGTGTAAGCATCGTCACTGGGGAGACAAAGGCGGTCGGGCGTGGTGCTGGCCAACCCATTGGCCGTCGTCCTCCGTGACTGATCTGTTTGCTTCTTACGCACGATTGCAGAAATATTTTCAGGAGCTAAACGCGCAATGTCGAGATGCTTCAAGAATGATTGGAGTTGGTGTCGTCGTGGTTCTTGCTATCCCTCCTCCTCCCCCGTCGAGAGGACGCAGACGACCTACCCGGTGCTTTGTTTACTCTTACAGTCGCAATAGTCTGGGCACACACAACAACAGCAACAACAAAAGTGCACTTGCCCTCCCCAACACGTCTGTGCGCGCAAGCAGCTATACGGGTGATCTTTGTGTGCTGTGTTTGTCTCTTTAACACTGGGGGGGTCCCCTCCTCCTCCCTCCCCCCTCTCCTCCTCCCTCCCCCCTCTCCTCCTCCCTCCCCCCTCTCCTCCTCCCTCCCCCCTCTCCTCCCTCCTCTCTTCCCACTCTAACTCCCTCCCTCCCCCCTCCCTCCCCTCTCCCTCCCCCCTCTCCTACCCCCTCCTCCCTCCCCCCCTCTCCTCCCTCCATCTCCTCTCTCCCCTCCTCCCTCCCCCCTCTCCTCCTTCCCCTCACCCACCCCCCCCTCCTCCCTCCCTCCTCTCTCCCCTCCTCTCCCCCCCGCTCCTATCCCCGCCGCCCGCGTCACTCGTTGCGTCCTCCGCCCGTCATCTCCCCCCCTTCCTACCCCGGCCCGGCCCGCACTCCTCTCGATGTCGTTCCACGACCAGCCACCAGTACGTAGCGGCAGCAGGAGCAGCAGCAGCAGCAGCCAGCCGCCTTGTTGTTGTTGATTGCTCCGGCTCATCTTGCTCGCATTATTCACCTTGTGGGCTCCCAAAGAGCGCGTGGCTCTATTATAGCAAGGCGCAGGAGTCAGTAGATAGTGTCTGGTGTGGTGTGTCTGTGTGTGGTGTGTCTGGTGTGGTGTGTCTGGTGTGGTGTGTCTGTGTGGTGTGTCTGGTGTGGTGTGTCTGGTGTGGTGTTTCGGTGTGGTGTGTCTGGGTGTGGTGTGTCTGGTGTGGTGTGTCTGTGTGTGGTGTGTCTGGTGTGGTGTGTCTGTGTGTGGTGTGTCTGACGTGGTGTGTCTGGGTGTGGTGTGTCTGTGTGTGGTGTGTCTGTGTGGTGTGTCTGGTGTGTCTGTGTGGTGTGTCTGGCGTGGTGTATCTGGTGTGGTGTGTCTGTGTGTGGTGTGTCTGACGTGTGTCTGGTGTGGTGTGTCTGGTGTGGTGTGTCTGGCGTGGTGTGTCTGTGGTGTGGCTGGTGTGGTGTGTCTGGGTGTGTCTGTGTGTGGTGTGTCTGTGTGTGGTGTGTCTGTGTGTGGTGTGTCTGTGTGTGGTGTGGTGTGTCCAGTGTGCAACACACGTACGCAGATACGTGTAAGGAGCACGTATTTAATGTTTTAGCTTATTAACACAGCAAGAGTGTTAGTTGTATCTTCTTGTAACAAAGTGGCGTTAGTACAACGAGTGTGTAGCGCAGTAATTTGTTTTTACAAGGTGGGAGACAGAATAGGAAGGACGGAGTCTGCTTGCTTCCAGGAGATTCGGAGCCCAAGAAAGAAATCTGAGGCAGCATTTTCTTAAAATCTCGGATATATATTTTATTATCCAGCTGAAGAAATAATGGTGGGTTTTGTGTGAGTGATTGAGTGTTGTGGTGAGTGAGCGAGTGTGATGGGGGTGTGTGTGGCTATGTGTGCACACGTGTATCGGTGTGTGTGGCTATGTGTGCACACGTGTATCGGTGTTTGTGTGGCTGTGTGTGCACACGTGTATCGGTGTTTGTGTGGCTGTGTGCACACGTGTATCGGTGTGTGTGTGGCTGTGTGCACACGTGTATCGGTGTGTGTGTGTGGCTATGTGTGCACACGTGTATCGGTGTGTGTGTGTGGCTGTGTGTGCACACGTGTATCGGTGTTTGTGTGGCTGTGTGTGCACACGTGTATCGATGTTTGTGTGGCTATGTGTGCACACGTGTATCGGTGTTTGTGTGGCTGTGTACACACGTGTATCGGTGTGTGTGTGCACACGTGTATCGGTGTTTGTGTGGCTATGTGTGTACACGTGTATCGGTGTGTGTGTGTGGCTGTGTGTGCACACGTGTATCGGTGTGTGTGTGTGCACACGTGTATCGGTGTTTGTGTGGCTATGTGTGCACACGTGTATCGGTGTGTGTGTGTGGCTATGTGTGCACACGTGTATCGGTGTATGTGTGTGTGTGGTTTTCGAGTCCAGACGGTGTTTTTTGTTATCTTGTAAAACCCCACTGCATTTGTTACTGGTTTGGCTTCGCCTGCTTGCCACATGCATTATTATTATTTTTTTAAACGTGGCTTATAGCGGTGACTTTGGGAGAGAATCAAGGAACGGATGCTGGGGGAGATTATACTGTACTGTATGCTTAATGCGTTTCCTCCTTTTTGGGGGAATAAACCCCACACGTGTGGCAGCAGCAGCAGCAGAAGCGGCAGAAGCACGTGTCCACGTGGAGTTACAATCAAGTCGGTTTCCCAGAGCAAAGGACGCGTAGAAAGTCATTGCGGGAGTCCCGGGTCCTATAATCTTCCTTAACCGTAATTAATTATGAACGCGGCTTTGTTTGTTCAATACGATAGATTGATACAAATGTGTGTCGGTGATATGTTTTTTTTTTTAGGGACGGATGGATGTGGGGTGGGGGTTATTAAACCGGCCACTTGAGTTAAGATGCCCACGGCTAGCATTGGTGGTGAGTGATAACTGAACCTACTCTGTGTGGGTTCCACCACCACCACCACCAACTACCCAATTCCTCTTTATCTTCACAAACCCGCATTGACCGGTGTGGTGAAGTATGGTCAAACGAACACCGCAACTGGCATTGCGTCGGGGGAGGAGGCCCTAAGCCAGCAGTGGATTGCAAAGGGGGCTAAGTATGAATTATATTTATGAAGAGGTTTAAATTGTTTACTACTTTGCAATGTTTTTTTTTGCATTTTAAATGTGTTGTTGCCCACGCTTATAGAAGAAAAATGTGTGTAATGTGAATCGCACGGCTTTATTGATAAGGTTTCAGTTTCATTTATTTGGTATAGCCTCTGTGAGCCATTCGGCTCTTGAATCGGATGCAACCGCAACAAACAAAAACCATGAACAAGAAAACATCTTAAAAGTGACTACGCGCAAACAGAATAACCTTGGAAAAAAAACCAGCAAAGACTTCCAGAAAAAGCACCGTATATCAATGCTAAGGAATTTTAACAATGGATGTTCAATGCAAGTGCTGAATTGTATGGTTTAGCAGAATATTTTTTGTGTCGGTAAAGGTGCGGCGCTGCAAGTGCTTGCACATTGCACTGCTGGTGGAAGGGCTTCCACCAAAGGGAGCTCTTGTGAGCCCCTCTGGAGGGTACTTAGGCCTACGTTTCCACGGTAATTGTAAAAGCTTATGAAGTAGCATACTACTGTATGCACATAGCTCGGAGTCGGTGGTGGAAATTCCACGTTTCTATGGCCTATTAAGCGACCTACCGACTGAGTTGGCATAGCTTGAGTACAAAATATATACAAGCGTGTGTCAGTATTCACGGTGATCCATTTATAGACATGTGTGTACTGTGTATTTCAGAGTCTCTTCACGTCTCCCACCAAACTCAAACACACGTTTCCACTCGTGTAAACACTCTCCTGTCGAATATGGATCCATTTAACAATATTAATTCACCTGTCTATTAGAAAGTACTAGTGCTATTAGAAGCCAGTCGGGTAACGATCAATCAAAATATTCCATCTCGGCACCATATAACAAGGCAGCCTGTACGTAAATTATCATAAAACTTACAACTACGCAATTAGAGTAATATTGATGTTAATTCTAAAGCCTTAACGTTTGGCGACAATTTTAAGTAAAGAATCTTGATTCTACATCATTAGACCTCCTTTGCCAGTACCAAAATGTAATAATAGGGTTTTTCCCCTTTTTTTGGCAACAAAACCGACACCTTTTTACAATGATTTATATCAGATGACGCCAAAAGGCGTACATTTGTTGGGAAATACTGGAGCCCATTGTCAGCGTATGGAATCTGGTCGAGCACCAATTGGGTCGAGGCTCAAAAGAAAGCCGTCCCTTGGTGTGGACCAATCAGTTTCAAGGACAATGCCACATATATTATCATAGTATTTTTTTTGTTTGCATTTTGACTGCAGGTTAATGCAGATATGAATTCTTGTAAAAAGGTTTCAGTTTTGTTGCCAAAAAAAGGGGAAAAACCCTATTATTAAATCTTGATTCTAGTACTATATCAATGGAGCACCATGCATATACAGTGGTATGATGTCCTTGTTGGTAAATTCGCGCATAACATGACTTGTGTACACGAGAAACTGCGTTCTGGGTGTGTTCTAAACTGCGACGACGGTCTTGCTTAACACGATTGTCTCGAGTTTATAGATTCCATACGCTGACAATGGGCTCCAGTGTTTCCCAACAACTGCATCGGCAAGCCAGTTAATTGACCGAAGATTACAGTGTACTGTTTGTTGTAGTTTTGGCTATGCCACGCAAAATATCTCGTGCAGTTTCATGTCTGTGAGACGTTGAAGCCGGATCCTAGTTGAATCACTGCCTCTTATACTGATAACATGATATTTTTATTTTGTAGTTTTTGTTTAACCTCTCGTAATATAGGTTTTTTTGGGGGGTTAGATTGCATAAATATAAATACGTCGTTAAATCCGCCACCACCAATTAGTAAGGTTTGTCACGTAAACAGAACATTCCAATTCGTTACTAGTACAGCAACACTGGTGTGTTGGAGAGCAAATCCATAACCTTTACAATCGGAGTACGATGTTTCGCCAGTAATTACGACACATTTATGTTTATCTAACCCCCCCAAAAAAACCTATATTTTGGATGATATTGGTCACGAAAGCCCATGTGTTAAGCTTTTTGTTATCGCTTTCCCATTTTTGTCGCCGGTGAACTTAAAAACAAATTCATTTAGCAATATTTGTTGCTGTTGAACGGCTGTACCCCAGCCACCGAGAAAAGTTGACGGCGTTGATGATGAGTGATGGAAAATAATTAATGTAGTTGTGCAACTTTAGTTTCTCGAAAAGAATTGGCCGCCGAGGACAGGAATTTTTGTTTATTTTCTCGCCAAGTGGCCAGCTCGCTTGAACATTGATGCGCAATTTTAATCGCCAGGTCACTGTTCACTGCCTGCCAGATGTCTTGTTTTGACCTTTGGACCGAGAGCACAGTCTCGCGATGCCTCACTGGCTCCGCTTTTTGCACATTCTGGCCAGCACGTCCCAAAATGTTTCACGATCAAATGTTTAACCACTATAAACAGTATGCCCGGTTTGCGCAAGACCAGCCGTATAATCGCATCTGGAGTTGGCATAAAATTGTCATCTGTCGAGGTATTTAAAAAAAAAGAATTGGAGTGTGCTTAACTGTAAACCGTTTAGACAAAATAATATTACGCTTGACAAAAATATTACAACATTTCTGTGAATGGAGATGTGAAACTTTATCAAAACTCTATTCGCATGTCTTATTCACACGTCTCTATTATGTGACCATATTTAACCTGTCATTTTAGACGAGGTTGCCATGCTGTTATGCAATATCGTTTGTTTTATGAGCCCTTTTTAGTTGACGTTGATTGTAAAGTTCCACGTTCAGCTTTGAACTCGAAGAATCTACAATGCCATAAAAAATTTTAACGCAGTGCAGCGTTTTTAAATTCATATAATTACGGTTGTACTTTTCGATCCCGCTACCTCTCCGTATCCATGAATACATTGGCACCCAAGCAGTCCCAAGTTGCTGTGTAAATAGTACAGTACTGTATCATGTATTATGTATGCATGTTGAATTTGTTTCGCAACGTAGTACCCAAAAGTGCAAATTCGGAGATGCATCGATTCATTCATCTTAATTCATTCTTCGTATGGCTGACCTTGATGCAGAGCAATAAGTAATTCCACAGCAACAGTCATCGATTCATTTATTAATATCATTTCTTAGACTCATACATATATAGAATTGTGCGTGTAAGAATTGGTGTTTTGCAGTTCATATGTGTTGTACATCATGGGTTCACGTGACCCCTACCGCCACTAGAATCGTGAGTCGGATGAATTGTTTCACACCTAACCCCTGATTATTATACAATAAAACCGTTTATAACTTACCTTTGTTCATAATTCCAGTGCAATTTTAAGAATACCTACAACGGAACTCGGAAGCTTTGCAGGGTTTAAGATTGTTTTGTTTAGATTTGGGCTGCGATGTGGCCACGCTACAGCAGTACATGTTTTTTTTAAATCTATCTGTGAGGATCTTTGAGTCTGAATGCGTGGTAAGGTTTGCTTTGGTACTCTGGTTTTCCTGTCACATTCCACATGCTCTTTTGGCAAGCATACCAATGCCATACCCTCCTGAAACAGTCTTGAAATTCCTTGAGGCTGTCCTGTGTAAACAATTAGAAATATGAATATATCTCAAATATGTTTTAGGTTTTTTTAAGATGCCAAACTATCTTCAACCCAACTGTTTTTAAGTTAGACATCAGGAGTGAAATAAAGTACAAAAATAACCTTAAAAACGAACATATGGAGGGGTTTTTTTTCCCTGGCGAAATAAATGGCATTATTCGTCCGGATAGACACTATTTTTGTGAGGTTTGTATTGATCATGCTTCCCATAGGGAGTGAAGCTGCTTTTCCTGGTTGACACAGAACACCATTATGGGCCACACGGAGGAGTCTGAATATGCATAGCGGATGTGTGCAAAACGTGGCATTTGCAAGGACTTTGTGTTCTCCCACGGGCCCGGCCATCAGTGCCGGATTATCCTCGCAGCAAAAGTAGCTACACATGCTACGGGCCCCGCACTTTCAAGTGCCCCGCGCTAAATGCTTTCAAGCTATCAATTCCGGTTCAGTGATTCTGAACTTGCTCTATTACTATAGTACTATACTGCCTTTAACTTTTATGAACGACTGGGTGTTAAAGGTTAGCGATTTGTCGTATTATCTGGCTGTATAGCAAATGAAAAAATACAATTACTTTACTATGCAAGTTAAATTTTTAATTTGTTTTGTGTTTTTATGTACCCTATATAACATATGCTACAGGCCCCACACTAGCTTAATCCGGCACTGCCCGGCATAAGGGACACTTTAAAAACACATGCCCACAATGGCCTTTTGTGTAAACATTGCAGAGACTAAATTGAACCCTTACCGACCTTATCTCAAAATCATCGGTTGCGTCCAGTCGACAATTCCTGGCCTTATCTGAGCTCAAAACATAGGCACTGTTAATTGGTGGAGGGCGACAGATAAAATGTGGACCTTCGGGGTTAAAGGTTAATGTAAGTGCACGTGAATGCAGTATGTTTTTGGTTTTCTTGTGCAGGTGACGGTGGTCAACTCTGTGGAAACGGCCCACTTGGATATGATTGTAAGTTAATGGTTTTACGGGACTCTTTTAAGTGTTGTATTTCCAATGGAGGTGTGATATTGCATAGATTTAGCAATTCATATTTATTCTGATGAAGCATTTAAATGTACATGTAAGAATCCGTGTTTTTTTATTGTTGTGCTTATGGGTTCACATTACTTCCAACAGTCACGAGCTGCCGCTAAATTCACCAAAGTGTCCGTGAATATAATTGACTCTTGAATCGAATTGCAACACTGAATATCGAAAATTAATCGAGTTGCCACAGAGGAAGAGGAGTGGGTGAATTATATTATACACCCATACTTTTTAATCTGCACTCCGTAAACAAATTGGCAAATATTCTGAGCAGATGCTCATTTTGGAGCTGATTGACCATAGCAGAGAATAACAAAACAAATTAGAGATTCAATCAACAAATGTAAACCCAGAATATTTATACTGGAGGAATCCAGATGTCCAGAAGACCATTGGATATTCACTTATTGTATTGCTTCTTCATCGTTTCATTTTCGTGCATCATTAGATGCCGTTTGTCCATAACGACACTTGTGTACAGAATAACGAGCAAGCTCTGACACGCTGGACGGGAATGTACAAATGTAATCCACCGCACAATAGTGGCCAATTTCATTTAAGAACACTTGGTGTTTGAGTTAATACTAACACTTAGTGTTTGAGTTAATACTAACCTCCCCTCAACTCCACCACTTCACTAAATTGCCACGATACAATGAGTTTGCTCAGTTCGATTTGCGGCTTTATTCAAGAATTGATTAATTATCCTCCCATTTTTTCCCCCTCCCATTTCTGCTTGTGGCCACTGCTTCATGAGCCTGAATGTAACGACCTATGGTTTGCATACATTATAAATAACTGCTATTTAACATGAACAATGTAATTCTTGTACGGTGAGCTTAATAAAACATTTAAAACCGTTGGTCATAACGTATATACTAAAGAGGTGTAGCAAAGTATTTACCCTTTCCGCAGGGCTGTGGGAGGCCCTAAAAATGCATTGCATGAGGTGAGGGTTGATGCTTGTGCCGGTTTGTGTCTTCGTGTCTTCAGCACGACGCCCAGATGGATTACTATGGCAACCGCCTGGCCACCTGCTCCTCCGATCGCACTGTAAAAATATTCGACATCCGCAATGGAGAGCAGATCCTGGTGGCTGACCTCCGAGGGTGGGTCCTGCTGCGGTGGGGGAGCGATTGTGACAGAGTCCGGTGCAAGTGACATTGGATGGTATATAGCGTGCCCTCAAATGAATGTGGATGGGCATACATTGGCCCGCGTACAACGGGGACGGTTTTAGGCAATCCTTAAAAATGTTAAAACATTTGCAAACCGCACTCAAAGCTCGAGGTTTGAACAGCGTTGCTGCCGTGTCTTTCACTACGGAGTTCACGCAGCGCACAACAAGCTTGGAGTAGTTACTGTGCAGTAACTCCTCTAACTCTCTATTTTATGTTTAGGAAGTGGATCGTGGTTTTTAAAACTTTTTTTTATATTGCTTTAAAAAAATGTATATATACAGTAATATGAAAAGCATTGTGAACTGTAAATGGGATAACTATGCTATTCATGGAATCAACAGGTTTTAGTTTTTTTCCATAAAACCCATAGGATGTGATATCCCACCCCTTGAATCACCTCCTGTAGTTTAAGGGCTTACTGCAGTTGTAGGGTAAAGGTGTATCCCTGAAATGTCTTCCTCACACCGCTGATGGACAAAAGGGCCTCTCCGCTTGAGGGAACACTCAAGAGGCTCTCTTGGCCAACTTCGCCACGTTCACCACACAACTTAGAACTCCTTTTTGCGTTTTAGTTTGTCCTTCTCTCGCACCTCCGATTAGCGCACGGTTGGGGCTACGTATGGTGCGAATGAAGTTCAACATTTATACATAGAGACCCATGGACTCACTGCATCGCGCGTTTGCAGATGCGCTTCTGCGGCCATCTGGAACGCCCTTCCTTCCGATATATAAAAAAAATATCGGCGCCATGCACTGTAGATTGAAAACTATTTTTTTTAACAGCTTTTATTGTTTAATTTGTTGTCCTTCCCCCAACACCTCTGAGCACGCTTGGGGCTATTTACGGTGTCAAATAAGTTTACATACACGTACAGACCGTATTGGTATATGTGAACGTATTTTAACAAAAGAAGAGGGCCTGATGCAGGCATTGATGAGAAGGAAACTGGCACTATTTGGACACCTGTGGAGAATTGACAACAACAAGAAAATTAATAGTGGTGTTGTTGGGAAAAAAATGGAAGGAACCGGAAAGAGAGGAAGACCGAACAGAAAGAATGGTCTTGACATTGACATAAGAGATTAGTGCCAGGAAGATGTGGCCACCACTTGCAGAATATTGTCACAAGACAGAGAGCAAAGTGGAAAAAAATTACGAAATATGCAGTGGACACCACCAACGGGCTATCTGCCTCTGGATCGTGACGATGATTTTGACAAAAAGGCGAGCCCCTTGGGGGGGGGGGGGGGGGGGGTGTGCCGCTGCCGTTGTCGCCGCGAGCGTGCGCCAAACCTGGACGTCGGTCGGCTTCCTTGTCGCCGGGGCGCGTGCAGGCACGAGGGTCCCGTGTGGCAGGTGGCCTGGGCCCACGCCATGTACGGCAACGTGCTGGCCTCGTGCGCCTACGACCGCAAGGTCATCATCTGGAGGGAGGAGGGCGACGCCTGGGAGCGCATCTACGAGTACGCTGGCCACGAGTCGTCGGGTGAGTGCTACCATCCTGGGTGTGGTGTGCTGCAGTGGAGACAGGGTGCGTGTTTGTGTGTGGGCCGGGGGGGGGGGAGGGGGGGGTTTGCTAAAAAAAATTTGCGGTGTGGTGGCACCGGGGGTTAGCGCACTGCTACAAACCCAGTTTCCCGAGTTCAATTCCTGCTTGCGGCCAAACAACACCCGTGACGATTATCTGAACCGGTCCCAGGCCTCCCCTAGGTCGACTCCGATATTAGGAAGATGTTGGAGCTATGCCCTTTAGAACTGCTTTTCGTGTTTGTTTTGGTTTGTCCTTCCCATGCGCCTCCGATTAGCACGGTTGGCTCTATACCAGGGGTCACCAAACTTTTTTCACAGTGGGCCAGATAGCTGAAAGAATGACGAGCGCGAGCCGCATAATCATTCTGTTCAATACTTGCAAGCCAGAACGAAAGCTCGGGGAAAAAAGACGAAAAACTAAGTTTAGCATTCCATGTTAATCATGGGTGAGTGGCGTGCAATGCACAAATAAAAGACAACCAACATATTTGTTTACTAAAAAGTTATCAAAGAAGGTGATGTTAGCAAAAAGATAGTTACATCAGACCTAGTGTGCACATATCCGAATCTCACAAACTAAGTAGCAAAAAAGGTTAGTGAGATTTGTGAAACTGACGTTTGGCTTTCAAGATATCATCAATGTTTGGTTTGGAATTGCTGCTTCCAATCAAGAGAATTGCTTTCAAATGTTCATCAGTCAATCTCGTTCGATGTGTTGACTTCACATACTTCATTTTTGAAAATGTTTGCTCACAGACATGAGTTGTTCCAAACACTGATGCCATACCAGCGGCAAGTTTCTTCAGTTTCGGAAACTCAACATCAGGTAAGCAGCGGTAAAATTCAACAAGGTTTCCTTCTCTGTGCTTCTCTTTCAACAAGTCATTTGCTTGCAAATCAATGAGCTCCAACTGTAGTTCAACTGGCACATCATCAAGGTTACGATCAAACGGATTCTGGAACAGAAGAATGTCACTCTCAATTATGTCAAGATCTGAAAATCTCTTCAAAAAATGCTTCTTCAAGTCACGAATAATCTTTTTCGGAAAATCGAGGTTGACATCTTCAGCGATTGTAGCGCAAAACTCTTTGAAACAGTGAAAATGAGAGGTTTTCTCCTTCCAGTTGTGCTTCAAACAATGACAGCTTTCTCCGAAATCCTTTGATGATTCTGTAGAGATCACAGACGAGGTTATCCTTTCCCTGAAGTTTCAAGTTCAGTTCATTCATGTGGGATGTGATGTCGACCAAAAATTACAACTTTGACAGCCAGGTAGGATCTGACAGCTGTGGATCAGCTCTATCTTTTCCAGTGAGAAAAACATCTGTTTCGTTTCGGAGCTTGTAAAAACGAAACAGGACTTTACCGCAGCTGAGCCGCCTCACTGCTGTGTGATAAGGCAAGTCACAGAAATCAGAATCCATTTCTTCAAGAAAAGCCTAGAACTGACGGTGATTGAGTGCATGTCCCCGAATGACGTTCACAGCAGAAACGACTGGTTTCAGTACACAAGAAATATCTAAGTCTTTCCCACAGAGTGCTTGCTGATGTATGATGCAATGTATGAACAGAGCGCCCGGAATTTGCAAATCTTCCAACTGAGTCCTGATCTGCCCCACCAGACCCTTCGTCACTCCAGCCATGTGTTTTTCCTCCATCAACTGTAACACCTCGAAGCTGATTCCACTGAAGGTTATAGTCTTGCGAAGTTTTTTGCACTTCCATGAAAATGTCTTTTCCAGTTGTTGTTCCATGCATGCTGCAAACGGATGCCAACTCTTCTGTTATCTGAAAGTCCAAATTGACACCTCGAATGAACACGAGAAGTTGTGACGTACCCGGGAGATCATTAGATTCATCCAGCGCCTAAGAATACCACAACAAGTTCCTAGCTTTCTCCCGTATCTGTAGCACTATGTTCTCTCCAAGTTCTTCTGTTCTCCGCCCAACTGAACTTGCCGAAAGGCTGATACTTCCAAACAAATCGGCCTCTCAGGACACAAGTAATTTGCTGCTTCCATCATACACTCTTTGATGAAGTTGCCATCAGTAAACGGTTTTCCTCGTTCTGCCATCTTATCCACTATTTTGTAACTTGTACGAGTGACAGATTCTTCATTGAAAACGCGACACTCTGCGTCCACTTTTCTTTTCTTAGTAGCCATAATGAAGGGCGAAGAAAACGGGATCTGAAAATGAAAAAGACATTGAATTGTTTCCTATTGAAACACAAGAAAAGCAGAGGATTCAGGGGTCACTGGTGAAGCTACGGCTCACCAAAGGTACATATAAAGTTTATAGGTACCTTTGGCAATAGAATATATCACAATAAGGTTTACAAAATATATAAATAGGGCGGGCCTAAATAAACAGCCTCGAGACCAGCTCGATTAACACCTTGACCGGGGAATTTTTCTGAGCTGGGGATAATATTTTCGTAATAACACGAGGCTTCTATGGCATTGTTATTCTATGTTTGTTACTTTATGACCTCTATTCACACTTGTAGTTCACTTACCTATCACTGTCAAACAAATAAATCCTTAAATTTTGATTTAAAGCTTTCGTGACTGCAGTAATTCATATTCTTAGTTTTTTCGGTAAAGTCACGTTGAAGAGAAACAACAAAATAACAAAATATATATAAAACAATAAAAAATTCTCACGACGTTTCGACCATAACTCAAACGGTCATCATCAGGTGTGTCGGTTTGCATAAATTTATTTTGAAAACGGCATATTTATTTATATATATAAAAATAACGTTTGCGTCACGCGCAACGATGGCAGTTTGCCAGGACTAGTCCATCTATTTTTTTTTTTTTTTTTGAAAAGAGGAGGGGGGAGACGAAATTTGTTTTTATGTATGCTGTCTGAAAGGCACTGTAAGCGTGAACAATCAATCAAGAACTGAAATGATTTATCAAATCTTTCCAATGATTGCTAAGATAGAATCCATCTTCTCGGTTGAAATTGTCTCTGTGTTTGTATATGTGGATAGCCTCATGAACGAATCTCTCATGGAAGCCAGATGGCTTACAAAGAACCTCCGTCTTGGAAAAGTCAATGGCATGTGAGCCTACTGAATTAGAACAATGATCTGCTACGGCCGAGGTGTTGGTCCTACCGTGTTTAAGGTCTGCTTTATGTTCACGAATGCGGTCCGAGATATGGCGTTTGGTTTCTCCAATGTAACTACTATCACTCAAACCATGAAGAAGAACCCTCTTGAGGAGCCTTTCAAAACCATCACTTTACCCTACATTGCTGGGATCACAAAAAAGATCTCCAAAATCTTGAATAAACACAAGATCCAGGTCCGTTTCAACACATTACATAAAATCCGTGATCTGGTTCCGTCTGTAAAAGATGTGATTCCGGACATACAATACCCTGGTGTCTACAAACTAAGTTGCCTCTGTGGTAGTAGTTACATTGGAGAAACCAAACGCCATATCTCGGACCGCATTCGTGAACATAAAGCAGACCTTAAACACGGTAGGACCAACACCTCGGCCGTAGCAGATCATTGTTCTAATTCAGTAGGCTCACATGCCATTGACTTTTCCAAGACGGAGGTTCTTTGTAAGCCATCTGGCTTCCATGAGAGATTCGTTCATGAGGCTATCCACATATACAAACACAGAGACAATTTCAACCGAGAAGATGGATTCTATCTTAGCAATCATTGGAAAGATTTGATAAATCATTTCAGTTCTTGATTGATTGTTCACGCTTACAGTGCCTTTCAGACAGCATACATAAAAACAAATTTCGTCTCCCCCCTCCTCTTTTCAAAAAAAAATAGATGGACTAGTCCTGGCAAACTGCCATCGTTGCGCGTGACGCAAACGTTATTTTTATATATATAAATAAATATGCCGTTTTCAAAATAAATTTATGCAAACCGACACACCTGATGATGACCGTTTGAGTTATGGTCGAAACGTCGTGAGAATTTTTTATTGTTTTATATATATTTTGTTATTTTGTTGTTTCTCTTCAACGTGACTTTACCGAAAAAACTAAGAAAATAAATCCTTGTTACATACCTATAAAATGGATGACAGGCAAAAAGAAGTAAATATTTCTGGAGCGTCGGACCTGTGTTGACAGCCGGGGGCGGGAGAGATGCGTGTTTGTGTGTGTTGCCATGGAAACCATGGTAACGTGTTTCCATGACGTTGCCATGGAAACCATGGTAACATGTTGCCATGACGTTGCCATGGAAACCATGGTTAACGTCAGAGCGTAGGCGGAGCTACCACGAGCCGGGAAAGGACTTGGGATGGCGAGAAATAAGTAAACATTAGAATAAACAAGAAAATCTAGGTACAAAAATTAAAAATTTAAAATAGTAAATTTAAGGCACATAGCAGTCAGGAGGTCTCCGCACGCGTGAAGATCTCCTAGTATTCTAAACAATATTTAAATTGTATCACAACGTCTCGTGTTCCATACGTTTTATCGACCAAATTCAAGTACCGTCGGCGGGCCTGATGGACTGACGTCGCGGGCCGGATCCGGCCCGCGGGCCGTAGTTTGGTGACCCCTGCTCTATACAGTGTGATAGAAGTTCAGCATGCATAAATGAGTAGCTAGTGTAGTGTGTAAACATCGCCATGAGTGAGACAAAAGGTCGCCGGGCGCGGTGCTGGGCACCCACCCCCTCTTGTGCCATGCTAGCCTTCATAGGTGCCGCTCGCTAACAACACTTGCCGCAACAGTCTGTGAATGCTATTTGGGGGATCTTTGTCTTTGGGTGATATTTGGCAAGAAAGAGGGGTGGCTTTAGTCCCCCCCCCCCCAGTGAAAATCCTTCAGGACAGTGGTAGAAGCTAGTTTACTTTGAACAGGAATCGGTTTAGGTTTTATTTTGGGCAAGACGTTAAAACCCATTGGCCAATAAATGCTCGTTTTTGATGGGGACCTGGTTACACCGCAGTAATCTGGTTACACCGCAGTAATCTGGTTACACCGCAGTAATCTGGTTACACCGCAGTAATCTGGTTACACTGCAGTAATCTGGTTACACCACAATAATCTGGTTACACCGCAGTAATCTGGTTACACCGCAGTAATCTGGTTACACCATAGTAACCTGGTTACACCACAGTAATCTCGTTACACCGCAGTAATCTGGTTACACCGCAGTAATCTGGTTACACCGCAGTAATCTGGTTACACCGCAATAATCTGTTTACACCGCAGTAATCTGGTTACACCGCAGTAATCTGGCTACACCGCAGTAATCTGGTTACACCGCAATTCGATTCCACCGCAGTAACCAGGTTACAACAACAACAAAAAACATTGACAAAACAAACCAAAAAGGGGTGAGGAGGGGGGCTTACAGCCTCTCGTTTGGCAAACAACAGAATTTAGACCCCACTGAAAATCCCTGTGGACAGAAACGTTAGAGACAGATGACTTACTCTGAACAGCACAAAGACTGCCGGGCTGTTGTCACGTGCTTCGCACTGATGTCACGTGCTTCGAACTGCTGTCACGTGCTTCGCACTGCTGTCACGTGCTTCGCACTGCTGTCACGTGCTTCGAACTGCTGTCACGTGCTTCGCACTGCTGTCACGTGCTTCGCACTGCTGTCACGTGCTTCGCACTGCTGTCACGTGCTTCGCACTGATGTCACGTGCTTCGCACTGCTGTCACGTGCTTCGCACTGCTGTCACGTGCTTCGAACTGCTGCCACGTGCTTCGAACTGCTGCCACGTGCTTGGCACTGTTGTAGTGACGTATGCTACATTATAAAATAATGACACAGGCAATCATCGGTGTAAAAAGCATGGCTTATGATGATGATGCTATTACTTGTGGCACAGGCAGTGAAGCTATTTAGAGGCACTGTAGCTGAGTGCGTGGGCGCAACAAACTCAGATCCGAGGTTGCTATTCACACCGCATGATGTTGGTGTGTTGAGCTAGACAGCCTCGTGTCCTATCCCCTCGGCTGCAGCCTCTCGGTTACAGTCCCTCGGCTACAGCCCCTCCGCAACAGGCGCTGCTCCATTACTACTTCACGTCAGCAGCGTCGCATCAGCCCCATCTTCTGGCCCCTGACTCCTCCGTCCAACTCAACACCCTCCAGCGCCCACCTCCCCTGCCTCCCAACTGCGACATAATTTATCCCCTCTCTTGTAACGTGTCGGTGCCGCCCATAATTATAATGACAGACTTTATTTAACAACAGATAATATACCTTTGCAAGTTTAATACTCCCCAAGAATTTGCACCGAATCCTCACCGCCTCTGATGCTTCTCTGGGTGTTCTCGTTGACGCACCGGACTTGAAATCATGAGGTCGTCCGTCAAGTTCTCGGCGTGGCAGCTACAATTTTTCAAAGCTTATTTTAATCCTCCCGCCTCTGCCCACAGTAGACCATCAGGTGACGTGTGGCGGGGTAAAGTATGTGGGAACACTCCCTCTTCCGAGATCTCTGTGACATATGTGTTTTGAACTTCTTTCGCACTGTACGTAGCCAACAGTGCTAATCGGAGGTGCGGGGGAGGGACGACGAACTAAAGCATGGAAGAAGAGTAGACCAAAGTCCTCTCGAGGGCCTCTCCAGAGCTTCCACCAGTAAGGCCCTGTCATCGGCGGTAGCGTGAGAACTTAATTGCAGTGCTGCACCTTTACCTCGCTCCTGAACCTGGGTCTAACTCAACCCCTCTTTCCTCATCCTCATAGTCCTATCCATCATCCACAAGCACAAGCCTATCGCTTAATCCAACAATACCACTTGCTTCTTACTCTACCCATGCCCCTAGCTTGAACGCTAAACTCAGCATTTTACCCACACGCTGAGAACATAGCCTAACGTTTTACTTATAATCCTAACGCTAAAAATGTATCTTGATCGTAACCATGCTCCAAGTGGTAACCGGAGCTTTTCTCTCGCACCGATGTTGTTTCTCTTTCACCGACCTTTAACCCAGTTTTGAAATTGAGGTTTTAAACTTACTCGCTGCCTTAGTATAAACGACAGCCACACAGTTGATAACTCCTTAATCATAATAAACAGGAATTTTTAGGGGATAAAACCCTTATTCGTGCCAACTGCTGTATGTAGTTCTGCCGTGATTTCATCCGTAACCGCTAGTCTTTAATTTCTGACCCCCCCCCCCCCCCCGAGGCATTTCAGCCAAAACTAGATTCCAGCAAAGTATCGTTCCACTTACAGTGGTGAGCATTGCTCATTTCCTGTTATGGTCCAGAGCACGTGCAGACTGAGCCTGTAGGTGTGGCCATGACAAGTGTCTGCAATTCTCCACGTAAACTATAATAACACTAGCCTTTTGCCCGTCCAAGAACGGGTGTATTTCAGAAAATCTGAAACTTGCAAGCGAAAAGCAGAGTGCGACGTGATAGTCATTGCATCCATTCATGTGCAATTTGTAAGGCCGCGGTGACACAGATTTATTTCATTTAAAGGTTATAATCCTTTGTTCATCATGACGTCCTTTTTACTTCTATGTCTCAACAGCGTGACGGAGATCACGTGACGTGAGGGTTTTGCCTTTGTAGTGAGGGTTATGAGTTGATGCCGAGGAGGGGGGGGGGAGGCGCCTCGGCCCCCCATGTGGAGTGACGTCAGCCGCTAATTATTATGAATGGGGGGGGTGTCCATTTGGAGGATGTCATCTTGGCATGATTAACTAGGGGGGCTGTTCGATGTGGAGTGACGTCACCTGCTCATGATTATTAATGAGGGGGGGTGATCTATGTGGAGGATGTCACCTGTTCATGATTATTAATGAGGGGGGCTGGCCGACGTGGAGTGACGTCACGCGTGGGACACACAGACATTCTTGGCTCATTATAGTAGTACATTTTCATTGATTAGCCTACGGGCCCCTCCGAACCGAAGATGGATTTTTTGTTGTTGCAAAATTAATTTAAGCCGCACACTTGACTGGTTTCGATTTTCCCTGAGTCTCGTACAAACGCTGCAGAGTTGCCAGATGTTGCAGGGAAGAACCGTTACAGTGGAACGTCGCTTATTCACCCTCGTATGTTCCCTCTTCCTATTATCCACCCCCACGGATCTTATCATCCGGATCTTCTTATCATGGTAGTATCATTTACCCGCGGATAAGACAAGTAATCCGGAATCGGTGGCATGTTCATCTTATCCACGCATATTTGAACTTCTTTTCACGGATAAGAGGCATAATATTTGCAGGTAAATGCAGTTAATGGGATCTGCCAATATTGGTCCCCTCATATGAATGTGTATACAATGAATAAAAAAAAAACGATGTTGCTTGGATAGTTTGTCAAGGGAATGTAAGAACAATAGCCTCAGTTTTTGTACTTAGGTGATGCACCGCACATAGGTGCCAATTTATTTCAAAGTGTTTGGCCCGCAGGTTATATATTTGATTCTCCATATTAGGGAATTTCCACATTACCATGGTATTGGGGGTGGAGTGGTGGCACAGACGACCTGAGTTTGATCCCTGACCATGGCTAACGTCAGGAGCGAGTGATGGCTGAACTATTCTTGGGCCCCACCCACCATGGCAGGGTGGAGAAGTGTGGTCAAACAACCATCGTGATATGGCCCAGAAGACCTTCATCGAGCAGTGGATTTACACAGTTGTACATTTTTCAAGTTTTGACATTGCATGCCTGAGAGCACGGATTTTGCTGGTCCTCTGGTGGAGCTGTGTTGTTGGGCTTGTGGTGGTCCTGTGGTGGAGTTGTGCTGGGTTTGTGGCGGTGGTCTTGTGGTGGAGCTGTGATGATCTTGTGGAAAAAAACTATGCTGGGTTTGTGGTGGAGCTGTGCTGGTCTTGTGGTGGAGCTCTGTGGATGCTGTGCTTTGAGGCGTGGTGCTGGTGCTGTATTGGTTGTGTGGTGGAGCCGCTGCGTTGGCCCTTGTGGTGGAGCTGACCTCGTGCTGTGCTGGCCCGCCCGCGTTGGTGGGGACGCAGTGAACTCTGTGTCGTGGGCCCCGCGAGAGTTCGGCCTCGTGCTGGCGTGTGGCAGCTCTGACGGCGCCATCTCCGTGCTGTCGTGCTCCGAGGAGGGCAGCTGGGACGCCAAGAAGATCGGCAACGCCCACTCGGTGTGTGCGGTGAAACGTCGTCGCGATGCGTGGATTTGTCGATTTGATGTTGGTGTACGTAGGCTCGCGATTACGTGTATTGAATCGTGCTTTTGGGAGTCTTATTTAAAGCTGCTGCAAATACATTTTAACACGTAGGCTTTCGGGACCCAATATTTAAGGTTTTTTCGGTTGGACTGCGTAAGTATAAATGTGTCGTAACCCTCCAACACCCGACCACAGCCAGTGAGGTTTGTCACGTAAACAACGCGACAAAATTGTCACGTTGTGTCGGGTGGTGGAGGGTTACGACACATTTATACTTACGCGATCAAACCCAAAAACCTTTACGGTTGCTGCAAATTATTTGCAACTGATGTGTGTACGCTTAGTATATTTTGAAGCGAAAAAAACTGTGCAAAGGTTGCAGTAAAAATGACGAACATTACAAACGAGATGGTAAAAACGAGGAAATTTCATCCACCGAATTGTGACAATTGATCAAATCCATTGGAGGGTGAATTGTTACATAGCCAATAAGAAATATAGTCACAGCAGTTTCCAGCTCCATTCTGTTTACTGCCCTCTGCGAGTGGTGGAATTTCCACATTCCAGTAATAGCGGGGGGAGTCAATTCGTAGAAGAACCACAGTTGGTTTCCAAAAAAGTGATACTTTTATCTATTACCCCAGAGGTCATAGGAATTCCACATCCCATTGTGGGGGGCATTATATATCATTGGTCTAGCCAGAAAGCGGTGCCCAGTGTATTAACCCCATAAGGGAGTCATTGTGGGATCAATCACTTACCAGGATTTGAATCTGCACATCTGATTGTGAACCGAGTGCTCCAAAGAATATCATCTATAATAGAGGGTTTATTGGGTTAGATCGCGTAAATATATAAATGTGTCGTTAAACCCGCCACCACCCGACACAGCCAACTAGTGAGGGTTGTCACGTATACAGAACGTGCCAATTCGTCACGAGTACAGCAACACCGGTGTGTTGGAGAGCCAAGCCACGATATGTAAATGTTCTCTTCACGTGACAACCCTTACTAGTTGGCTGTGTTGGGTGGTGGCGGGTTTTTTTAATTACTTTTCAGCACAACCAGATAAACATATTCTGCTCCTTAAAAATGTAATAATAAATTACACCCCTTTGTCAATCCGCTGCTGGATTAAGGACTCCTCCCCATGCCATCATAGTCATAGGGGGTTATCTGATCATAACTTACCACACTGGTCAGTGCTGGTTTGTGATTACGGACACCCAGAACTGGTACAGATGTTACTTGCCACTGAAGTTAGTCGGAACTGGCAATCGAACCTGGGTGGTCGGGTTCGTGGCACGGTGCGCAAACCGCCATATCATCACTCCACACTCGACCTGATATTTATTATTTAGATTTCCAGCACCGTGTATTAGAGCATTGGAATACACGTGCTTCCGAAGATGCTGAAAATGTTACCACAATTAAATGTGTAGGTTAAGCATAATGAATGTAGGAATACATTAATTACATTGTGCAATTGTTTATTTGGCTTGGCATCACGGCTGTAGAGCAAGCAGCTCGCAACCAGAACATTGAGAGTTTAAATTTTGGTTATGGGGTTGACATCCCTCCAGGGTTGATAAAAGGAGTACTGCCTTGTGGGGAAGTCAAGTGGGTTCTATGAATGTATTCCCCCGCACCACAGCGTGTTCACAGCGTGTTGCGTTTCCACCACTGCCTCAGGGCTGCACATAGCAGAGGAGCATTGCCTCAATGCTCGCTTTGAGCAGGAAGTGGCTTGGACTTTTGAGGTTTTTTTTTTTTTGCAGCAGGTTACCAGAACGAACAGAGGGCGAAGGCTTGTAATGATACACGGATGTATTCATTGAATTCCCTGTGTACGGATAATTTATTTACGACGTATTGCGAACTCTATACACAAGGTATTGTTATAAAGACAAAAGATTTCCCTTATAGTCTTAACATACTTTCAGGGCAAGTGCTGTTAGCGAGCACCTATGAAGGCTGGCACTGCATACGAGGGGGTGGGTGGCCAGTACCACGCCCGACCGCCTTTGTCTCCCGAGTGGTGATGTTTACACACCGCACCAGGTACTCATTTGAGGTTAGGTCGACCACGGCGGGGAGGCCCAGCACCGGTTCAGATAATCGTCACTGGTGTTGGCCGTGAGTGGGAATCGAACCCGGGTTGTCGGGTTCGTAGCGTAGCACGTTAAACACCACACTACCGCTCCCCTATATGGTTATACACACACACACACTCATGACTGTGAAAACTCTAGGCAGTAAGGTTCCACATGCTTTTGCATTCTGGTGGTCCAGTGTTGTGTGCACAGTGGTGGGGGTGCTAAGGCGGGGACTTGCTGCTCCCCTTCCTCTCGTTTTTCCCCTTTGCCCCCTCCCCCCCACCGTCCCGCACCACCAACAGATCGGCTGTAACGCCGTGAGCTGGGGTCCCGTGATGGCGCCCATGGGGGGGGGGACCCCTCAGGGGCCCTGTGGCCAGAAGCCGATCCGGAGGTTTGTGTCGGGCGGCTGCGACAACCTCGTCAAGATCTGGAGGTGAGCTCCAACGATGGCGGTGGTGGAGGCCTCGCTCTGTTGATTTTAAGGTCGCATGGTGGAGCAGTCGCACGGTGTTTGGCACATTCCAACGAACCCCCGGTGAACCGAGTTCCATTCCCGGCCATGGCTGCTAACATCGGTGGCGATTATCTGCAACTGGTCTTTGGGCATCCTCTAGGTTAATTCGGCTGTAAAACTATTATCTGGAATGATGTGTAAGCATCGGCGCTGGGGAGACATAGGCATCCGAGAGTGGTGCTGACCACACCCAACCCTTCGTACTTTTAAATCTCGACTGAAAACTAATTTCTTTAGAACTGCTTTTTGTGTTTGGTTTGTCCTTCCCCCGCACCTCCGATTAGCACGGTTGGCTACGTACTGTGCTAAAGAAGTTCAACATGTGCCGTGTTGGCCTTGAAAGGTACTCGCTGCCGCCACTCGTCCGCAGCAGTCTGTGGCTACAGGCGGGACCTTCGCCTTTGTCTTTGCAGGGAGAAAGATGGGCAGTGGGTGGAGGAGCAGAAGCTGGAGGCCCACAGTGACTGGGTGCGCGACGTGGCCTGGGCGCCCTCCATCGGGCTGCCCATCAGCACCATCGCCAGCTGCGCGCAGGTGCCTGCGGTGCCCTCTAGCGTTTTCGTTGACGATGTCTACGAAACGCGTTCGTCGACCAAGGCGATTGTTATTTTAGCCAACTGTCACCGCTAAAATCGCCGGGCGTCACCTCGATGACGACAGCCCACCGAAAGATCCTCTTCTCACATCTTCGTTCAGTTAACGCGAATCTGAACGAAGATGTGAAGAGGCACATTCAGGTAATTGAATAAATTCGTTGGTGGTGCGCCATTGGCAGTGGTGCAAAAGTACTATTAACAACAACAACATGAACACGACCATCAATGACATAGCGGGAATAAAAAAGGTGACATTTTGGGCAACGGCCACTATTCATAGCACGTCAGAAGGGGATAAGATTATTTCGTAATTTTGACCGTGACTGCATGGCCCTGTGGAAGACCAAGGGGCTCTAGGGGAGGGACGGGACGGAGTAGAGGAGGGCAAGGGAAGGGAGGAGGAAGAGAATGGACGATGGAGAAGGGGCCACGCTTCGAGAGAATTGCACCCGAGTCTGTGGCGCATTAATTCGGGTTCTCAATGCAACATTGACATTTCTTTACCCTCTTTGTCTGTCGGCCGCCGTGAAAGGACGGCCGAGTGTACGTGTGGCGGTGCGAGGATCCCTCGGGCAGCTCGTGGGTGGCCAAGCTCCTGCACAAGTTCGGCGACGTGGTGTGGCACGTGAGCTGGTCCATCACCGGCAGCATTCTCGCAGTCTCCGGGGGTGATAACCGGGTACTGCTGCCTCTGTGGCCAACACTCCCCCACCGCCAGCCGCACCCCCAGTCATATCCACATTGTGTGTGTGTGTGATGAGAGTGTGCGCGTGTGGGTGATCGTGGGGAGCGGTAGTGTAGCGGTTAACGCACTGCGCTACGAAGTCGGCTACCGATTCCTGCTCATGACCAACACCAGTGACCAGTTATTTGTCTTTCACCGCACCTCCGCTTAGCACGGTTGGCTACGTACGGTGCAAAAGGAGTTCATACATAGTGACAATTATCTGAACCGGTATTGGGCCTCCCCTAGGTCGACTCAGCCTCAAATGAATACCTGGTGCGGTGTGTAAAATTATCGCCAATGGGGAGGCGGTCGGGCATGGTGCTGGCCCACCCACCCCTTCATGTGCCATGCCGGCCTTCATAGATGCTCTAACAGCACTTGCCCCTACAGTCTGTTAAAGGCTATATGGGGGGGGGGGGGGGGGGGTCTTTGTGTGGGTGATTACTCATTACACGCGTATTGTAGGCTGCTACATTTCCACGCTGTCAGCAGAAGAGGCTAGTGCAGCAAAAAAATCTATGCTTGTATGTATGTTGAACTTAATTCGTACCGTACGTAGCCAGCCACGCTAAACAGAGGTGGAATATCCTCCAGCGTCTGTGCTATCAGCCGTCATTAACCAGTGCCGACCCCTGCGTGGTGACGAATACCGCTCCCCCCACGCACAACCTGCACATGTTGGGGAGGCCCAGCAGTGCGTTGACAAAAAGGCTGCACGTGTGTGCGTGACGTTAACCCCCACGGTGTTTTATCCCGCCTCCCTTTTGCGCCGCCCTGCAAGGTGACGCTGTGGCAGGAGTCCCAGCAAGGCCAGTGGGTGTGCGTGAGCGACGTTGACAAGAGCCCAGATGGATAGGATGACCAGCCATGATGCGGGGGTGGGGGGGGGGGCTTTCTCCACTGGTGGTTGTGAGGCTCCAGTGGCAACCTTTACGAGCGAGTCCTTGCCCTCCTCAAGAGCTGAAGCCTACTTGCCATGCCACTACAGGTTGACACGTTTCTGCCGTGTCAATATTTTGCTCTACTGCGTAGGTTTTGGCGGCTGTACTTGGGCAGCTCTCTCCGATGTGTTTTTAGTTTGTACCCCGCGTGTGTTTTGGGCGCACGATGTCCTGGGTAAAGTTCAAGAACTGGATCCAGAACCGTCAAGGACTGGACAGTTCTGGAACTGATTTAAATTCCTGAAGAAGTTCCCAAGCACGTGGAGTGAAACGTTGGGCATCATGCCAAACGACACACGGATGCAACCCAAAAACACACCTTGGAAGGATATTTTGTAGATTGTTTTGTTTGGTCGATTAAAGCTAAGGCCGACGCTTCATATTTAATCTAGTTAACGTTAACTTTGTCACATTACAGTTTGTTTGTTTGGCATAGCCACGTATTTTACCACTTGTCATGTGGATTGTTGTCAATGTGCCTTGTGGGAGACAATTTTGTGATAATCATTTGGAATTGCTCGTGGTGTAACCAACATAGGAAGTTTATATTGATAATGTGTACATGAGAGAACCTATAAAAAATAATATATTTGATTTGTAAAACTACATGATGCAGGGGAGGAGTGATGGCCGAGTGATTCATCGCACACTTCGCTATGAACCCAGCACTATTAACCTCTGCGGATCCGAGTTTGGCTCCCGGCTAACATCATTGGTGCGTGATATCGGAGCTTGTTCTGGGTCCTACACCTTCATCGGACTACACCGAGAGGCGTCGTGCATCATGGTCCAATAAAATCCCATGACCAGCATGGCACGGGGAGGTCTATTACATATTATTACGATATACATTCATGCTACATACACTATAAAACGTGTAAGATCATTTACACTACGAATGTAAAGTTGGAATGACCAAGAGGATATTTCTGGTGGAGATGAACATTAACTTTGCTGGAACCAGAGAGGATATTGTAGTTACATTTGAGAGATTTGTCATCTGAACCCTTTGGCAAAATTCTATTTGCCAGGGCTATTCGGACAAACAAGTGTTTTCTCAGAAACTTGAGTGCAGGATTTTTGTGGCGGTCACACTTTTTTTTTCTGAATGTCACTTGAAATGAGCGTGCCACATCTGTTTGGAATAGTGTGGGATTTATTAGCACGTGTAATAAGACGCGTGCGTGATTTGACAAAGATGTGCGACCGGTTACTTTGTTTGTAGAGGGGTGGTTAATGTTTTCGTGTTGGAAGGACTTGTGGCAAATCTGTCTGCAGAGCAGGGTGCCAAGTCTTGCTGTGAGCGTGGCATTGTCAGTGGTTGTTAGTGCATAGGATTGGTGTCGATGACTGGTCTGGATGAGAAACCAAGAGACCAGGACAAGTCTCGTGTGCAAGAGTGACCTGGTTCTCACTAACACATTACGTGAGCTGAACAGAAATAACTTATCACACTAGGAATAGAAAATGTTGCAAATGTAATTCTCCTGCAGTGCAAATCGGCTCTTGACAGATGGGTCTACAAGAGCTAATTGTTTTGGGTTCTATATTGCCCTGAAGCATTAGTGTTATTGATTTTGTCTTTATTATTATTGCTGGATTAATTGTGACGTTATTGTTGTTTGGGTGCTTTATTGTTAGCAGTATTGAATGCACAAGGACAATGGGGTTTTGAGACGCATTGTGAAGGACTTTAACTCGTTCCAAGAAGTAATTCACCGCACTGCATTTCAAACTTGTTCAGTGCAGATTCGGTCTCGGATCTGGACACCGTGTGAAGGTTTATGTCACAAGTTTTTGCAGAGCTACGACCGCGTTTTTTTTGTTGTTACACAAAGTTGTTCATCGGCCTTGTCCCGGGGATTTGAAAGGGTGCGACGTGGCCGTGTGATGCACGTTACGGGGCGGCATGGGATGTGTGGGGGAGGGGGGGCGACGCTGCAATTGTGAAATGTCTCAGGAATTGATGAACTTGCCACCGTGCCTTTGTGCGTTTGTGTTCCGCGGGCATTTGTCTATTTGTTGGTGTATTCGAGTTTTAGAATAAGAATGTAGCATCGAAGTTGTTTTCGCTCGGATGTTACAATTTTGTATTTAGATGTCGCAGCAATAGAAAACCGTTTATTTTAGATATTAAGACAATAAAAAATGATATTTTTTCCATTAAATTGTTTCATACTTGACTTTATGATCTCATAATAACAATCCATATAATTGCAAGACGTTGCGAATGTATGTTTAAGTTTATCTGTCTCACTTGGCTTTTCATCGGTGGCAATGTGTAATCGCGGGCGCGGTGGTTCCCAGTCAGCTGATGGATTAAAGGCCTTCCCACCTGAAAATAATATTTCAAAAACACCTGTAGATGGAAATCCCAAGTTTTGTTGAATTTAATTTGAAATAAACGACTATACAAACTTTAGAGTACTGTATTGGTGTTTGGTTTATGTTTTTTAGTCTGGTGTAGAGAGAGTGGTTCTCCAGAATTGTTGTGTTGAGCCATTATTAACCAAGCTGCAGAGCACATCCTCCACTTGGAAGCTGCTCTAATCACAGTTTGTGAAGTCCATTTCTCGGCGATGAATATTTTTGTTCACGTTGGGCCATCGGCTTGTCAGCTGTGCAAACGAATGCTTTCCCAGAAGCGTTTGTTGAACGAAGTAGGAAAACTTAATCCAGATGAAACTGGGGTTAAGTGTTAATCAGACTCTGAAGATGAAACAATAACTGTCACCGATTTGGTCTGCATGATTAGCACGGTTGGTTACGTACGGTGCGAAAGAAGTTCAACATGCATTAAATGCTGCTTGGGAAAAGGCTGATGTATAGCCTATTTGAAATGCGTTTTGGGGCCGTCCATAAATGACGTCACGCGATTTCGGACGATTTTTGACCCCTCGTCACACGGCGTCACAAAAAGTCAGATCCACAAATATGACGTCACAAAGCTCTGCCCCCCCCCCCCCCCCAAAAACCATATTTCCATTTTGAAAATAAAACATGCTTCAAATCGCTTTAAACTGTTGTCATTGTAGTGCGTATTTAATGTGGCGCTGCACTCTGATGGTAGAGGAGTGTTGTTATAACAATTCTATATTTAAAGTTGCGCATTTTGATGTGACGTCACATTTCACCCCCCCCCCCTCGTCACACATGTCTGACCCCCCCCCCCAGGTGCGTGACGTCATTTATGGACGGCCCCTTTTTGAATTTCCATTATTTTACACGTCTCCTGCCGCCGCAGTTTACATATACAAAGGGTCAAACAAGCAAGCAGATATCACGCCATATTGATTGATCTTTCGACACAATGTTGTACTTGGTACAGGACAGTACATACCGTATTGAAAGGTCATACAGAGAAGGCTGTCTGATGTAGGCCAATCAGTTTCGCAAACAATTCATATTTATCTGAGAACACGTTTGTTTGCATGTTCACCACACGTACGTGTGGTTAATTGGACTTAATTCCTTACAAAAGTGTTCTATTTGGTGTTTGAACATCTTAACACATGTTGCATTGTTATTTTTCATACAGTACTTTTAAACTGGCATAAAGGTCCCAGCATATATAGTACTATGAGCATCGTAAGTGCTCTTTAGGCCCTCTCGTGGCAACATTGATTAATTTCACAGGCTGCTATATAAGCCTCGATGTTTTGAATGCCAGCAAAGTTGCAATATTTCACCTGGCTAATCTCTTCAAATGTAAAACATAGGACAGTTGAAGCAAATTTAAAAAAAAAACACGGCAAAAACAATCGTGAAGAAATCTGAGCGAAGAACTGACGAATTCTAATTTTTTTTCAAGTGTTAAACTGGCTTGAACGTTAACTTCTGTGGGTGTGTGCTGTTTGCACCACCGCCCAACGTAGCATCATCACCAAACGTTGCGTTCCATTACTGGATAAGGGGCCGTCCATAAATGACGTCACGCACCTGGGGTGGGGTCAGACATTTGTGACGATGTGTGACGATTGGGGGGGGGGGGTGAGAAATGTGACGTGACGTAAAAATGCGCAACTTTAAATAATTATAGACAACACATTAAATACGCACTAGAATGACAATAGTTTAAAGCGATTTGAAGCATGTTTTATTTTGGGTGGTGGGGGGGGGGCAGAGCTTTGTGACGTCATCTTTGAGGGGGGTCTGACTTTTTGTGACGCCGTGTGACGAGGGGGGGGGGTAAAAATCGTCAAAAATCGCGTGACGTCATTTAGGAGCGGATTGATGTCGGTCTCTGGCGTCGACGGCATCAAATGTTCACGACAGATTCCTGGGAGAGATAATTCAAAGGAGACCAGGCCACGTCTCCTGCCGCCGCGGTTCCAAATGTGCCAAGATTGTGAACATTTCTCGCCTATTGCTTTAATCGGGTGGAGCAACATCGTCCGCAGTCGTGTTGGCCTACTATAGCCGTCCGTGAAGCATAGTGCCTTGAATGTACTGTGTGTGTTTTGAACTTAGTTCGCAACGTGCATATAGCCAGACGCGCTAATCGGAGCTGCCTTCGTCGATATAAGAATGCCAAACGTACCAAATGTATTATTACATAACGACACATTACACCCAATTTTATTTTCAGGTAACAGGAACAGATGTGTTCTGGGTTAGATCGCGTAAATAAATGTGTCGTTAAACCCGCCACCACCCGACACAGCCAACTAAAACAGTCTGCCTCAGCAGCAGACCATGTGCTCCCACCTGATGATGGACGCTTGTTTTGCGCCCGAAACGTCGTGATTTTTGTTACATATATACCTACGTGACTTTACCGAAAGAACCAAAGAGTATAGTAAAGGAGTTGTCACGTCAACAGAACGTGGCCAATTCGTCACGAGTACAGCACCACCGGCGTGTTGGAGAGCCAAGTCACAACGTTTACAATCCAAGCACGACGTTTCGCCGGTAATCATAAACCAGCGTCACTGGTCGCGCAAGCCGAGGCGTGAAACGAAGGGGAACTTTGTGAGAACTTCCAACATCGCACGCAGTGCGCGCGGAGATTCCCACGCGGTGTCCACCAGGGGGTGCTCCCGTAGAGGTGGCGATGGCTCCACGCCTGGGTTCGTGGACAACCCCCACTGGGTAAGAAGAGGGCAAATCGGGTTCGGCACTGCGTAGTTCAGCGTTCTTCACTAAGTTTCAAAGGAGGGGTGGGGGGGGGATGGAGCCACTTTCGCCGATAAGACATCATCGGTGCGAGGGGCTGCCACATTTGAAACCATGGGGGGTGTGGGTTAACAGCAGCACGATGATGATGGGGCTGGGGGTGTTGTCACTTGCTGTGATTTACCAGAGGGGGGCCGCACTGAATGCCACCAGGGCCCGCCAGTGACCCGCAGTGCCGTTGCAGTGAAGAAGACCGGCGTAGGTTATTGAGCGCACTCGCTCGCCCCGTGCAGCGTTTTGCACAGCCTTGCTCGCCATTTATATTTTGGACCTCTGCTTGGTCGGTACGATATACGAAGCTCCCGGTGGCTTCCGAATATCGGAAAGGAAGAACGTTCCAGACGGCCGCAGAAGCGCGTGGCCAGCAGCCAAAATCCGCTGCCGCGAGGTTGACCAAAGTGTCGCGTGATGGGTTTATAACTCCTCGACGAAGTCTGCAAGGTATTTACGGCTTAGGGGCTGTCCATAAATGACGTCACGCACCTAGGGTGGGGGGGGGGGGGTCAGATATTTGTGACGATGTGTGACGAAGGGGGGGGGTGTTTGAGTAATGTGACGTCAAATCAAAATGCGCAACTGTAAATAAATATAGAACTTTGATTTAAAGCTTTCGTGACTGCAGGGATTCATATTCTTGGTTCTTTCGGTAAAGTCACGTAGAAGGGAAAAATAAAATGATAAAAATATAAAACAATAAAATTATCACGACGTTTCGACTGCAACACAAGCAATCATCATCAGGTGTGAAAACCACAGCAAGAAATTTGAAAAAAGTGGCGTTTTTTAACGTTAGCACCACGGAGAGCGATTTGCAGTTATTCAGATGGACGTGTCCTTCTATATTCGGAAAAGAGGAGGGGGGAGACGAAAATAATGGATGCAGTCTGAAAGCCACCGTAAGCGTGAACAATCAATTAAGACCCGAAATGGTTTATCAAATCCTTCCAATGACTGCTAAGCCAGAATCCATCTTCTCGGTTGAAATTGTCTCTGTGTTTGTATATGTGGATAACCTCATGAACCAATCTTTCATGGTAGCCAGATGGCTTGCAAATAACCTCTGTCTTGGAGAAGTCAATGTCATGTGAGCCTACTGGATTATAACAGTGATCTGCCACGGCCGAGGTGTTGGTCCTACCGTGTTTTAGGTCTGCTTTGTGTTCACGGATGCGGTCCGAGACATGTCGTTTGGTTTCTCCAATGTAACTACTACCACAGAGGCAACTTAGTTTGTAGACGCCAGGGTACTGTATGTCCGGAATCACATATTTTACAGATGGAACCAGATCACGGATTTTATGTAATGTGTTGAGTCGGACCTGGATCTTGTGTTTATTCAAGATTTTGGAGATCTTTTTTGTGATCCCACTTTGTGTGCAATGATCGCAACCTTACCACGTGTTCTCGTTCGGTGACCAGAAGCCCAAACGCAGCTCGGCTTGCACCGGGCGGACACGGTCGGATATTGCAGTAAACATTCCTACAAAGTTATGGTTTGGAAAGAGGAAAACTGCAGCTGTTTGTTTATGCAAAGGGAGTCATTCATTTGATCGTTTTGGGCATAAGCTAAAAAAGGGGTGGCTTGGGTGGTGGCTTGCCTGCAGTGGAGTATATTTGTGGGGGGGTGGGGGGGGGGTGCATGCGTGCCTGCAAGCTACTCCATCAGTTGCAAGTTTCCGCGAGTATGTAACTTCTGCCAACTTCAAAAATGCGTTATTCAAAGTTGGCGACGAAAACAAGCGCAATAGCTCGCCCTGCGACAAAGTGTGGATTTCGTGTTAAATGTCTCTTTCCTCATGCTTAAAAACACACCAATTAATCCGTTGCCTTAAAATCGCGGCTTCATTTACCCTGGCAGTTTCACAAACGGCACCTCCCCCCCCCCCCTCTCTGCTGTCTCCCCTCCCGTACCCCTCACCGACAGCAACAGCGGGAGTGAAGACAAGGGGAACTGTGGTTTATTTTCTTTTCCGGAACTCCGGACAATTACGGCTGAAATCAAGCCACGACGCTTCAAGGTATTTATCTTTCAGATGTCTTTTTTTTCTTTTCCGGATGTAGAAGACTCCCCAACATGCGCCTTTAAGGAGTTGATTTTTTTTAAATTTGTCCCACCCATTCCCCAAACGTCAGCGTAAGAATGACGCAAGAAGGAGCACTTTCACTTATTTTCGTATCGGGTAACGGGAGATGGGGCGCGCTATGGTAGCGCGCTGCTGGAGTGTGCTACGCGAACCCGGTGACCCC